TGGTGCTGGGGGATTGAACTCTGGTCCCTGTGCTTTTGCTTAGCTTGTTCTAAGTAGGTGCTTTAGACCACTGAGCCATCTCACCAGCCCCCTTTTTTTTTTTTCGGAACCAAGGATTGAACTCAGGCCCTTGAGCTTGCCAGGGAAGCGCTTATTCCACTGCGCCATCTCCCCGGCCCCCTCATATATTAATTAATTCAACAAAAACTTATGTGGTCCCAGGGATCAAATCCTGGGTTTCAGACACTGGGGAGATAGCTTGGCAGTCTAAGTGCCTGCCTGGCAAGCGAAAGGACCTGGGTTTGATCCCTGGTACCACATGCTGTGTGTAGCAAGACCCTGTACCAAAAAAAAATAAATAGATACATAAAGATTTTTTTTTTTTAAAGTCCAGGTGTGGTGGCACACACCTATAATCCTAGTGCTAGGGAGGCTGAAAACAGGAGAATCATTACAAGTCCAAGCTGCATAGTGAGACCCTGTACCAAATAAATTAAAAAACAAAACAAATTCAAGGCTTTATGCACATGAGGCAAGTAGGCTACCAAGAGCCACACCTGATGCCCGTTCTTTGATTATTAAGTGCAGCTGTTTTTTTCTGATTTTACAAGTGACACTGGGCCAGGGAATACCCGGTGCATTCTAAAAACCACAGAAACAAGCAGGAGGAAAACCCTGCTTCTTTAGGAAGTGGGCTGCACTGAGAACTCGGCCAGGCACAGTGTCCTGGACCTAGGCCTGCAGTTTCTCCCATGGCCCTAACCTGTCACGCATGTTCCCAGACATTGTTTAAATAAACCCCGGCCTGGGTCATGCCTTCCTGAGCCCACTGGCTGTGTATCTATGATGATGCTGAGGATACAGCAAGGACTGAACTCTGTGATTACCAAGTTTTTCTTTATCATTGCACCAACACTGAATTCTTGGAAGGAAAATAGTAATTCACTGAGTATTGACTATCCCCTGACACTATACTGGCCTAGAAGCATCATGGGCTAAGCAGTTACGTCCCTGGAGCCACTTTCCTAAGTGTTCTGCGTGCACATCTCACTTTATACAGGAGTCTACTGATGCTCTGAGAAATCTAGGAGGTCAAGTGGCGTGCCCAGGGTCACGTATTAATGAGAGGCATAGCCAGCAGTTAGGCCCCCAGGATCAGACTCCACACTCTCAACACAGCTCTGTGGGAAGGAATGTTGGGGGCCTTCACGTAAGCGGCCACTCAGAATCCATGCACCTTGTCCTCGGAGCACAGTTCCTCCAAGAGCTGGTAGAATCAGAGGAGAGGCCTGCTATTCTGGCCCTGAGTTTAGAAGTCTGGGAATGTTGGGAGAGGAGGATTGTATAAAGAATTAGATAATAACTGTAGAAAATGTTAACAGTTATCTACAAGGACATAGGGTTATGTACGTCTATATACTGCATAAATTGGCTAGCCCTCCACAAATCAGAGCTAAGAGTAGAATGCTGTCTCTCACAGTGGAACTGGGAGAAACACACAAGCACCCCCAAGGAAACATCTGTAGATTCAATTTTGGAAACTTGTTACTTTGTGGTCACGGTTTTATGCTAATATGATTTCAAATCCAAATGCAAAGGTACGCATTAAAATGACACTTGGCAGGGCTGGGGATGTGGGTCAATGGGACAGCATTTACCTAGCAAGTACAGAGCCCTGGATTTGATCACTAGCACTGCCAAAAATAGTAAAAAGGAATCATAATACTTAGCATCCTACAATTCCATTTTATTATAATCATAGATCTTACAAAATCTATGGATAACTTAAACAGTCTTGAAATAGAGGAGCACCTCAGGTTTTTTTTTTTTTAGTTAAGGTCTCACCGTGCAGTTTAGGCTGGCCTCAAGCTGGCAGGATCCTCTGGCTTCAGCCTCTCAAGTGCTGGAATTGTGGTGCATGCCACCATTGTAGGCTCCCAGATCTTTCCTAACTTGGAGATTTTCAGAGGCACTGGATTTCAGAATTTTGGACTTGCACTTGTGTCTGAGCTGGGTTTTAATAGCCTCACTGCTTGCCTCCTCCCCAAAAGGCTCTCCACCAGGGAAAAATCGCTGAGCTTGGATTAAATAATCAGGCAAGGTGATCTGCTTAAGCTATCAACTCCAAGGGTGGCAGGGTGCACAGAAACCCACACCTTCCTTCCCTATAATCCCTCGCTCTTGAGCTTCTCTTCAGCTGTTGCCTGTTTGTGAAAAGAGCACCAGGCTGGGATTAGAACTCCGGTCTGAGCTCTGTAATTAGGTGTCACTGACATTTTGGGGCCGAGCACACTTTTGTCAAGATCCTCTCCCTATTTACTTCAGAAGGCTGAATGAAATAAAGCAGTAAAACATCTAGAAAAGTTAATGTCATCTAACACATGCAACGTTCTCATTTCTGGCTTCTCTTGCTGCAGCTCAAAAATGCACCATGGTGACAGCAGTCTTGGCCCCACAAAGGTGAACCTAAGTGGTACCTCTTAGCCAGAATGGACAGACCTGACCCGCCTTCCAAAGTCAAATAGAAATAACTGGGGATTATGCAACTTTGGGTCATATTTACTTTTCTGCTCCTGTCACTAATACAAAAAGAGCTGACTATATTTAGCACCATGCTTTATTTGGTTTTCTTTCCCCGAGTTAGATGGGAATTATTCCTCTTTCTACCCTACCCTTCTTCCCACGTTGAGAGTTCCCCAAAAGCAGATCAGCTCTCTGTAAACGCAGATCTCTTTAAACCCTCCTTCCCTCAACATCCACCGCACCCAGCTCAGGATAGGAAATCTCCAAGGATGGGAACCTTGTCTTTGGGGGCTCTCTTCTCACACCTCAAGGGAGATTACTCAATGCAGGGGCGCGTGTGCACGCGCAGGGGAGGGAGGGGCTCCCCAAGGGACTAACGGCCTAATTCAATAAGGCCAAAAATAGATTACAACGTCTCAGATTACCTTATGATTAACTGAACTCTTTGGTGGTGCGTGCATCAGAGAAGTGGTGGTGAAAAATAAGAGGACCAAGGGGCAGACAGACTCGCATCTGGACACTGATTTTGCCACTTAGCCGTGTGACTGTACTTTACCAAACTCTAGGGCAGTTTCCAGTCTGTGAAATGGGGCTCAGCTCCAGGCTTGTGCGGGGGAACACGCTCAGACGCGAGGCGTTTCCCGGGCCAGCATGCACGCGCTCACTTAAGGGTCGTCGTGGAGGTTCCCCGGAAAAACGAGGAGTAGCGGGCGCGACGAGCTTGGGGAGCCCGGCACCTCGGGGCTGAGACACAGCGACTCAGAGCCTGGGTGAGCACCTCGCAGTCGGCCGCCTTCTCGGAGGCCAGAGCCGTCCAGGGCCCGCCGAGGAAGGCCAGCAGCCTTTGGTCTCTCACAGATACCCGGGATGGTAACGGTCCTTAACTGCGGCCCACAACGGCTCCTCCGTGGTCCCGGGAGGGCAAGGGGCGGGCTGAAGATATCAGCAACTTGAGTCCTCCGCACATCCGACCCGAAGCCAGCACGCACTACAACTCCCGGCAAGCCCCGGGGCCGGTGGCCTCTCTCCTCAGAGCAGGACCGCCCGCAGTGCTTCTGGGAGTGCGCCTGGCCGCCTGGCCTCCTGGGTATTGTAGTTCACATTGTTCGGGTTTCTAGGAATGGGCCGCTTTTTTTCTCGTAGAAAACTACAACACCCAGAGAAGAGCGCAAGCCAGGCTGGTCCAATAGGAGCGCCCCTTGCAACGGGGCGCGGAACCGGCGCTGGCAGCTCAAGATGGCGGACGAGGGTGAGACAGCAGTGAAGTCCCTGGCACCTTCGCGGCCGCAGAAGCTGGAAGGCAACGGGAACAGCCATGGGCACTGCAGCGACTGCGAGAACGAGGAGGACAGCAGCTACAGCCGGGGGTAACGAGATCCTCGGATTCCAGTTCCTGACCGGTCTTCTGCAGCCTAGGTCTCGGGTGCGGGGAAGTCCCTGGGAGCTAAATTTAATCCTACCTCCATGCTCTTATTGGTTAAGATATTAGCATCTTGCCCGGCGATTGGCTGGTGCCCTTGTCATTTACCAAGGGGGGCTGCTTGGTCTGTTAAGGGCCGGAGACATTCAGTTACTTCTATTACATAAAAGTTATTCTGTGTGTTGAACCTCGCATTCTTCAGGCCTGTTCGAGGAAAGAGTATGCGGAACGATAGTTTTCGGTGGCACTGCACCGGCAGTCTAGTAACTACAGTCCCGGGAAAACGTTACTTACAGAGGTGCTGTGTGAACGACGTGACTAGCAGTGAACGAGCAATAAAGCATTTCCCTGTAGTTCACTTTCGGGAAGGAGACTCGCCAGGCTGTACAAACCATGTGTGTAATTATGTTGTAAAATATCACGGAGATCCCTAGATGCACGCTCACCTTATAAACACTGTGATTACCTGTATGATAATGTTTTGGTTTATACGATCTTAGTTCGAATAATCTTTAAGTTTCCTGAGCAATATATAATTAGGTTTTGGAGCAGCTTCCTGTTAACTTTGTGAAACCTTGAGGAAACTGATCTATGCTTGTTGGACAGCATTTCATGCTTGTGGGTTTAATACTGCAGCATCTTGCACTTTTAGGTCTTGCCATTAAGAAACTACTGTTGCTCAGCTTGAGGAGAAAAGCTGCACCAGACATTTGAGTGGTTTTTTTTTTTTTTTTCCAAATCAGTTTTGACTTTTGTAGGCCACAGTTTTAACATTCTTCAGATTGTTAGTATCTAGTACTCTCTCTTGCTCCCTGTCTGTGTTAACATGTATATTTTTAAACTGAAAGCCACAAGTTACTGTTTGGGTTTGTAACTCGCTGAATCTGTGGGTAATTTTTTTTTTTTTTTTTTCTTGGAACCGGGGATTGAACTCCGGTCCTTGTGCTTGCCAGGCAAGTGTTTAGTCCACTGAGCTATCTCCCTGGCCCCTGTGGCTAATTGTTATAGACTTCTTGTTGTCTGGTTCAAAATAATTGCCATTTCATGACTTTCCCATGCCCCCAGGTAAAGAAGAGGTAAAGGTAGAAGGTTGAAGTCTTTGGATGAACTCTTGTTTTTTATTCTGCTATCTTGTAGAGAAGGGAACAAAAAGATTTAACTGGTTAATACTCCCTTTGTGATGAATCCTAGAATAAAAGATCTAGCATTTTTACTCTTCAACTAGCATGAAAAATCACAAGAATGTAGAGAAAAAGGAAGCTTACCATATTTGGCCCTTGTGACTGTTGTTATAACTAAACAAATGTAGTAACAAAAGCTGTGTTTTGAAGTTCAATATTCCTAGGAAGGGAGATCTAAGGAAGAGGAAGAAGCCACCAGAAGGGACAGGCAGCTCACTCCTTTGAGTAGATAGGCACATCATAAATGAAAGTTTTGAAGGTGATAGTCATTTCACAAGTGAAAATGTGGCCTTTTCTTTGTTCTTTATGTAAATGCTTTTATTTTTCTCTACCAAATTGTTGGCCTGATCAATGTCTATGGTTCTTTTTTTTCCCCCTTTGGCAGAACCAGGGATTGAACTCAGACCCTTGTGCTTGCCAGAGAAGCGCTTATTCTATTGAGCCGTCTCCCCAGCCCCTTGTCTATGGTTCTTTAATAGTTTTTTTTCACAGTGACTTATAGCCCATGTGCTTACCATGTAGAAGGCCTAGACTGGTCCCAGCACAAAACACAAAAGAAGGGCTCGGATTGTAGCTCAGAGATAGAGTGCTTGCATGAAAGGCACAAGGTCCTGGGTGTGAGAACAGAGTAAATGAGGAAGGCATTTGGAATGCAGCTTCCCTCTCCTTTCTTCCAGTTTTCTGTAATCTTCCCCAGCTTTCCCTCTGCTATTTTTTTCTTTTTAAATTATTTATTATTTATTTATTTATTTGGTACAAGGTCTCGCTATGTGCTGGCATGTGGTACGAGGGATCGAACCCAGGTCCTGTACTTACCAGTCAGACACTTAGACCGCCGAGCTAGCTCCCCAGCCCCTTTCCCTCTGCTCTTACCACATACTGTATTTTTTTGTAGCTTAGCTTTCCTTATCTTTTTTGAGGCAGGGTCTCACTATGTAGTGCAGGCTGGGCTTGAATTCACTGTGTGGGATCTTCCTGCGTCAGCCTCCTGACTGCTGGGATTATTGGAGCACCACCCTGCTCCCAGCTTTGTAGCTTTTCTCATGGCAATAGTTAAATAACACATCTGATAATTTTATTTCTTGTGTCCAGTCCTCCCCACACTTGACCATTATATGCTTGAACACAGGGATCATTTTCAGTGCCTCTTGCTTAATAGGTATTAGTGAGTTCATTTGTTGGATTAATGAATAGCAAATGTTAAAGTGCTTGGCCCTATATTAGTAGTTTCATTTTGCCTCACTGAGTGACATATGTTAGATTTTTCTTTCTATAGCAGCCTTTCACTCTAATTTTGTGAATTGCCTACAGAAACCAAGAAACTTCTAGTTTGTTGTGGAAGTTGTCACTGGTGGGTGGTTTTTTTTTTTGTTTGTTTGTTTGTTTTTTGTGCTTCTGGAAATGTTTTTGTCTTAACCTAATATTGTTCAACATGATTTCAAAAGTCTTGGGGCTGGGGATATAGCTTAGTAGCAAAGTTGTTGCCTGGTACGCACAAGGTCCTGAGTTTGGGTCCTGGTGCCAAAAAAATGAAGTCACAAAGAATTGAAGCTGGGTGTAGTGTCATGTGCGTGTAATTCCAGTATTCAGGAGGCTGAGGCAGGAGGATTGCCATGAGTTGTAAGCCAGCTACAGGGAAACCCTGTCCAAAAAAAAAAAAAAAAAAAAAAAAATCAAAGAGGACTTTGACTTTTTCCTTTCTGCATTAATGATTTTAAAATACAACACAATAAAAGTTATGATAAAACTCACTCTTTTTCTCTTAGGCCTCTTAGGATGAGTTCATAGTGCATTACACTAATGAAGTTGTGTACTACTGAATTAATAAGAAACACAGCTGTGCTGGTTAGACTTCTTTGTGTGTGAGTTTAGTTTTTGATGGGGGGCCTGCCAGTTAGCTCAGTTGTTTAAGCGCCTGCTCATGCGAATGCAGTCAGGTGCAGGATACTTAGGTTCGATCCCCACCTCCACCTGCCTTACCAGACCTGCCCTTCAGGTAGCCTGAGCTACCAAAAATAAATAAATAAATAAATAAATAAAAATCCTAATTATTGATGTTTGCAGTTAGTATGTTTCCTCCATAGTTAAAAAACGTAAACATTTGGTGAGTATAAAACTTCTTGGGCTGGTGAGATGGCTCAGTGGTCTGAAGCACCTACTTAGAGCAAGCTTAGCAAAGCACAGGGACCGCGGTTCAATCCCCCAGCACCACATGCCAGCCAGCCCTCCCCCTGGTGGGCTGAGCTGGCCACACACACACACACACACACACACACACGCAAAAATAAAATAAATTAAAAAAACAACTTCTGTGTGTGTATGTATATATATGTGTGTGTGTGTGCACATGAATACGAACACGTGTTTTTGATAAATTACAATTGTATACCTCTGTCTACAACTATATTCCTCTAGTCCAGGCTGTGTATATCTGTCTAGTTTTTTGTCATTGTTTTTGTTTCTTTTGATACTGATTATTTATTTTTATTTTAGGGAAGGGTCTACAGGGTGCTCAGGGTTTCAGTACTAGATCGGACTCGTAGTGATCCTCCTGTCTACAGCCTCCCAGGAGCTGGGATTACAGGTGCTTGCCACCACGCCCAATCTCGATACTGAGTATTAAATCCAGGGCATTCTCACTGATCAGCCTTCCTACCCCTTGCTTTTTACTGTGGAACAAGATTTTTCTAAATTGCTGTGTTGCGCAGGGAGGCTTGCTGTAGCAGCCCTCGTGCCACACCTGAGGATCATGATTGTATATCAGCATGCCCACGGTTCTGCCTCTTTTTTTTTGAACTGTTTTATTTATTTTTATTTCTTACTATTTTTTTGGGGGGGGGGGACTGGGGATCGAACTCAGACCCTTGCACTTGCCAGAGAAGCGCTTATTCTGTTGAGCCATCTCTCTGACCCTTTTTGAACTGTTTTAAACACGCACAGTTGCCTTTGCCTAGTGTGTGCATGATCCTGGGCTTGATCCCCACTGCTGCAAAGGAAACAGGGAAAGAGATTGGCATTTGCCCTCTAGTTTATTTGCTCGAGTAAATTACCTGCAGCAGTGGGGGGAGTCCGACTAAGATACTCTTGGAGCTGCCTCCCTCTGCTGTTCTGCTTCATGCGAAGGTTTAATGTGCTGTTTTTCTCCCTTGGTCTTGTGAGCTCGGACTCGAGAGGTATTCCAGAGCAATCTTATTCACAGCATCCTCTTGAGTGCTGGAGTTATGGGATGTACTGCCACACCCAGCTCAGTTGCTCTTTGTGGGGTGCAGTGTGAGGGATAGAGCGCAGTGCCTTGCGTGCTGGGCAGGTGCTACATCTTCTACACCCTCACTTTTTTAATACAAGGTTTCCCAAGAAGTGTTACTTAGGAATAATCCTCTGGATCTTGAAGTGGACTTTAATGGTGGAGTAGCAGATAAGTTCAGGGGTTCCAGAAAAATGTATTAAACTATTCATTTCCTTGGAGACTTGCTTTGCTTTATGGTGTTGTGAGTGAGGGTGTGATGCTGCCCAGGCATGAGCTGGGACCCTCTGACTGGGGTCTTGTTGTCCCTGTCCCACTCTCCTCCCCCATGGTGCAGCCTGATGTGTTTTTTCCAGTATTGGGGATGGAACCCAAGGCCGCCTCACTCAGGTACATCCCCAGCCTTTATTTTTTATTTTGAGGCAGGTTTCATTAAAGTGGCCAGATGGCTCAGGCTGGGCTCGAACTTGGTGATCCACCTGCCTCAGTCCCCCAGAGTGCTGGGCTACATGGGGGGGGGGT